AAAATTAGTTTCTCTTTTATGAGCTCCCATATTACTCTGGTCATCTCATCACCTTGCATCTCGACCACAGAACCTGCTTTGATCTTCTGAGACATTTTGGACCCTGCAAGACCAATGACGGTTATATGTTAAGATGTATAGTAGGGTCAGTACTTACTCCCTGAAGGAGGAATAGGCTAGATTCCATTGAGAAAAGTTACACAACCAGTGAATCGGCATTTTTGCCTTAAACCTGTTTTAACGAACAGCAGTTTTGAGCCTGCAGACTAATAAGCACAAATCTCAGATTTAGAAGTCTGTAGTTTGTGTGGTTTTTCATAAATGGCTATACTAACACCTTAGTTTTTCAGATGCGCATGGTAATACTATGGTATTTTTGGACATGGTAAAAGGACATGCTGTTATTTTAAGTACCCTGAACTACTATGCAAGTACAATCATTATGGTGTTACCATCTCTGTACTGATGTACCAGCTTTTGTGAGAGACACCAGCTATTCTTATGCAACTAAAGTAACAGCACCTGACAGACAGGCAGCCATTGTGTAATATAGATGACACAGGTCTTTTATTCACCATGAGAGATTCGGTGTATCGCATCAATTGTGTCACTATTAACAAATGTTTCAACATCTTATTGCAGTTCCAACTGGCACTGGTTATGTAACAAAACAATTAGGACAAAGGTCAAATACAGCCGCGTGAGATCCTGTTTTGCACATTTACATTCATGTTTTATTAAAAGTCATAATGAAGGTTTAGACGAACCTTTGTACGATTTGTAGTAAAAAATAATAATGCAACATTAACAATTCTTTAAATATGTCGTTTATATATTATGACCACCGAGGTTTCAAAACCCATGTTTGCGTCTTCTCTAATGAATGTATCACTTTAACAGTGTTTATTCTTCCATAATGCTCAGCATACCGGTAGGTAGCACTTTACAGGAAACGTCAAATCAAACAACGACTGTAATGTGATTTACTGGCTATTTTGAACGATCGCGACTCAATATACGACGCCTACCTTTTCTTTTGAGATTGTATTGGAGTAAATGGAGAGATATCAGATGGTTGATGTGTCCTATGGAGGCTAAAGGCTTTTTGACTCGTCTTGGAAGGCGTTGTTTCCTATCAGCTGAGCGGATAGCATAGGCTCTCCCCAGCTCTGCTCATACACGTACTTCTTCAATCAGATAATCCTCCACCAATCCAAGAGAATACGGAACTACACTTAAACGACTAGTCCCTCCTTCATTATGCACGCTATTGGGAGGCATATGTTTCTGGATAATAGCTGTTTGCATTGGGACAGACACTTGTCTTCCTCTAGGAGACGCTATGCAGCTCAAAAATGCGGCCCATTCCTTGAACTGTAGGATCACAAATCAATTTTCTTCTCTTTTTATTACTGAAATAAAATGGGCAATAATTAGGAAAATTTCTTAATTTTTTGTCATTTTATTTCAATTGTAAAAAAGTGAAGAAAATGACTTTGATTTAATGACTGAATAAATCAGTATTATATATATATATATTCATATTCATATTATAATATTTTGATGATAAACCCGTGTTGTATTTGTTTTCATATATTTATTTATATTTTATGCACTTATGTTTTGCTGCAATTTGGATTTGTATTAAGTTTTGTGTTTAGTGAAGCATTTTATTTTTTTGGAAAAACATTTTTGTATTTCTCCCAATAGAATATGCCTTAATCCATTAATTTAGAACTGTGATTCGTGCATTCTCATCAACGCCGAGAAAAATAACAATTACCACGTGACTAATGCGTTACTTTTGGTAGCAGTATGATGACCAATAGTTTACAGATGAATAATGAATGACACGGAGGACTTTAATAGACATCGAACTGAAAACAAACAATTAAGAGTTGAAACCGAAATTATTATTTAGAACTAAAATATTATTTGGAACCATAAGCCCCGCCTATTTGGACACCCTCTCTGCAATTCTACTCACTTTTATCATATTTCAAACAAAGCCAGTCCTTCTTCCTTGCTTTTAACGCACCCAGTTCTGCGTTCTATTTAACATTATTACGTTTTGTCAAGTATGCAGTGAATTGGTACTACCGCGTCATAAAAGTGCGTCTTGACGCCACCAAAAGTAACAGAATAAGCGCGATACCAATGCCAATTTTCATAAACCAAACTGTTAATGATTTGGTTTTGTTCCAGCCTTCCCCTGCGCACATAATATATGGGTGATTTCTAGTTTCCATGCCTCCTGCAAATCTTCACCAACAAAAGCAGATGAAACAGAAGATGATACAGGCAAGACTGATATATACAGGTTCACCCAACCTCCAAAACGCATTCTGTTTCTTGAGCAGTCCATATTCTCAATCCACCTTCACGAGCACTGCTCTTCATGTGCTGAAACGGTTTGCTTATCCTCTGAGTTTGTGTGTAGGAAGGGAGTGAAAGTGAGCACTGAGCAGTCGTTTGGCATCTCCTGTGTGAATGCAGAATTCAGATTTACCGGCAGATGTCGCAATAATTCCATCACTTCGTTTGTTATTAAGAGTCCCCTGTGACTGCCACAATATTTTGTCCTTTATGCCGGTGTTTACTGTAATGGTTCAGCATACTTGAAATCGGCCTTTTATTTATTTTGTATATTTTTATAGCAATGCAAGACATGGCAAAGGAATCCTGATAAGTCAAGTTGCAAACTATGAAACAGAATGGACACAAGTGTTTTGCATTACATCTGTGGCCTAATATCTTTTACAAGTCTGTAAGTATTAGGGATGGGCGATACCACTTATTTTGTTTTCGATACGATACCGATATTTTTCAAGGCAGTATCGTCGATATCGATACCGATTCGATACTTCTGAACTAAACTTTTAAATTATGAAATTTATGAAATTATTAAATTACTAAGAGTAAAATGGGTAATGATAAGCACTTAACTTTATGTTTAAAACGCATTTTAACATTCAATACGCCTTAATTGTAACTTATTAGGTTATATTTTTGTTTACACATGGTTCAAATACGTTTTTTTGTTTACACATGATTCAAATCTATAAATACTACATTTGAACTATGGTCACTTTAGTAAAACGGTTCATTTTCATAAGGGACTGACGCTGAAAGGCTGTTGCATGCATAAAATGCAACCTTTTTATTCTGACAGTGTATGATTTCTATTAACATTACAGAATAGAACATGATCAATATTATCTTTCAACGTTCAATTTAAATAACTGTAATTGCACAAACTATGTAGGCTACAATTTCAGTTTGTTTATTGTTAAATAACTCTGTCCTTCTGTCCTCTGATAAGCATTGTTCAGGGCTGCCGTTCCCAAAAGCTTTAATGCTTTCTTATGATACTTTTGGGAAAAGCAGCCCTGTTTAAATGCACTGTCAGCAGTGAGTGAACGCTCTCTGTGATTGATTGGTTCTGTCTTGCAACATTTGCGTGTTCAGATGAGCAGGAAAATAGTTATATCCTACACAATTACTCGCTAACAAAGGTTATTCGTCCAATTCAATGCATATTGTACGCATTATTTTTTGTTGTTGTTGTTGAATTAACAAAATCACTGGTAAATAAAACACACCTTAGTATCGATCTTTTTTGTTTGAGTATCGATACTTTCGATACTTGCGTCAGTATCGATATGTCGATACTTTGGATCGATACGCCCATCCCTAGTAAGTGTGTCGTCCTTTGGAATATTTTGGGCATCCGGAATGTGAGTCTGCAGGCCAAGGTGACATTAAACTTTAGGTTTGAGAGTGTGAGCCTTTTCAATCCGAAACAAGACACTAACTTTGAGAAGAAAAATAACAAAATGTTGCCATGTATATTACTTATTTTCCTTCTTCTCTTTTTATACTTTGAGCTACTGTGTTTTAACCTCAGTGGTGAGTTGTGAAATTTTATTTATTGCCTGTGTCAAATTACATATCATTCACTTGTTTTTCTTGTTATAGGTTGTTCCATGGAGACACTGTATTTATTTTTTTCTACCACACTGGAGAAAAATTACAATAAAGCTCTTTTCCCTTATTATTCTGTTCTATTATTATTGACCACAAACACATTGATCGTGTACAAAATTAAATCTAAAAGAAATAGTCAGGGATAGTAGTAAAACACTCTTGCAAATAGTTATACTGTTTGATTTATGAATCGATGACAAATGATGTTGGACATGATAAAAAAGGAGGCATCTACTCATAGAACAAGTGCTTTGCGTCCATTTTTGAAAAACGTTTACATTTTGTACAATATATATATTTTTAAATTTAATCGTCTACATTGTACTAAAATACTTGCCTTGGACTGTGAATTAACAGACAATGTTACTATATGCAGTTAATTATATTTTAAACATGGTTGTAAAGGTATAAAATATGTATTTTTGAAGTTCTATTAGTAGTGTTTTTTTTTTTAAGAAAACCATTTTTCTCAAATACTCATGCCATCATTTCTTTAAAAAAGTTACAGTTACACCACCTTGACAGATGTGTTTATTATCAACGAGGTGTAGACTATTCAAGTGATTTTAATGTATTTTTTTTTATAACTTAGATCCAGTAAATGATCATTATTTTACTGACCCTTGAATTAAAAAATCTCACTTTTTATGTGTAAAATCAGTAAACGGTAAGAACCTTCCACAGTCACTAAGTATTTTCTCGTGAAAACAATCTAATTTCTTACAAAATCAAAATTTGGTTTGTTTTTAAATCTTTAATAAAAAGACAACTAGTACAAGGGTTCTAGCCTCCGTACCAGGTTGCTCACCACGTGACGTGACACCTGCTGGTTATAGCAACTAGAGAAAGCCAGTATGTAGAGAGGAAGGATCGTGGTGCCACAGGAGTCCACACGGCATCAGTGCGCAGTCGCCTCACCAGTCAGAGCTCTGGTCTCCAGCGCTGCCGTTACGCACAGGTTCATCTCATCTCCAAGCACCTGACTTACAAAGACACGTACTGGGATTTTTGTCCTCTTTATGACACGATGTGAGGCAGATATGTGGGCTTTTTGGTAAAGGATATGGTCACTGTTGAACTGCCAAAGTGGAGCCGCGCATATCACGGATCGGGGCGCTCCTGCAGGGTCTAGGATGCGCGCCCGGAACATCCCGATTCTTACCCGGGTTCGGGGCTGAGCAGGAGTCCACTGGCCCTGCTGGGCGCAGAGGTGGGAGGAGGACGCAGTCGACCCGCACCAGGATGCCTGTGATGAGAGGACTGCTGGCCCCGCAGAACACCTTCCTCGACACCATCGCCACCCGTTTCGATGGCACCCGTAAGTGCGCAGACCGTACCAACTTACCGTTCCTTCACCAAAGTGTCGCATGCAAATACTAAGTGTTTTGGGCAAATTTAACAGTCACCCGAAGCTATTTACAATAGTGCGTAAAATGGAACAGTTGTAAGCTCTTAATGCACGCGCGGCGTGGACATATGAAATCCTTTCGTGTAGCAGGTTGGTCATTGTCTCGTAACATTGTTCAGGGTAACCAGTGACAGCAGTCATACTGGCATACTACAGCTAAAAGTATTTTGGACAATATTTTATAAGTATGCACGCACGCACGCAGTTTTATGGCCTCATATAATTAGAAGAGTGCATGGAATATTTGTACTTGTCACATTGCAGGACAATTTAAGCAAACTGTAAAAAAGTTCAAACATAGTTATATTTAAATATAATAAATATATTAAAATACATTAAATATATAAACATATTTATATAGACTACAATAAAATACGTTACATCTTGGTATTGAATTAAAGTTAATGTCCATGTTTGTTTGCTACAGGTATTGTGCAACACTGAGCTGTGGGTAGTTCTTGATTGTACTTAATAAATCTTATTTATTTATAGTTTAATTTCCGTGTCTTGCTGAGTTCAGGTTGCTGCATATCTGCTTATTTTGGATGTTCTGTGGTGTGATCTGTTCCCTGGCATCCCTAGTACATTTTGTCTCATTTTCTTCTCGGCATCTCAAATAATTACATAATCTGAGGAACAGAAGCAAAGTAATAAGATTTAACAGTGTTTTTTTAAGAATAAATTTTACTTGACATCTGGATGGCTCACTGGGGGTGAAAGAGGACAAAAATCCTTTAAAGAGCAAAACAGGTGCGTCTGTCACTACTCCAGTGCTGCAGATGAGTGTGACAAGACACACTTTTGAGCTCCCTTCCCATTCTTTAGGCCGATCTTTCATCTAAAGCCACACAGAGTGAGTGTGTGGAGATCTAGCTGATTTGTAATGTGTTTTTTGAACAGAAGGGATGAGTAACTTGCGTGCTGTCCGGCTGAGCTGTTGGTGTGTAGGTGGATAGAGGGTCACTAACATGCAGCTTCATGTCCAAAACTATGTGTCTGTCCAGTGGTCTAGTTTAATATTCTGGGATACTCTGGGTTAAGTTCAAACTAAGCTGAATTGACAGCGTTTGTGGCATAATGTTGATTACCACAAAAATTAAATTAATTTCCACTCTTCTTTAAAAAAATAAAGTATATAGTGGGGTGCTTGCAATGGAACTTATCTGTAAATGTTAAAACAAACAGCTTCAATAGTAGCCAAAATCATAAACAATATGCATCAGGTTAATACCATTTAGATGTGGAAAAAAATGCTTACTAACATTTTCTGTTTAAATTGTGCAACTTTGTTGCCGTGACAACGGAATGCCATAAACCCTGTAACCCCAAGAATAACTAAAATTATTCAGCTTTTTAGTTTTAACAGAAGAATTAATTGAACAGCTTTTGGAAAATTATAAACTTTACAGTTCTGCTTTTAAATCCTCTAAAAATTGGCCCCATTTACTTCTATTGAACTCAGAATATTCCTTTAAAGATCTGGATTGGTAATTGAAAGGCTGTACAAATCACTCAAAGGTTCATCACTATCAACACTATCAATTTATTAGCAGATGTGTGCAACCTCTAGATCACAACACCACTTGCTTTTATCTTTAACTGATCATCAGCGATAATATATAAACACAGAGGGGGACTGCTTTTAGAGAAGGACTCCTATGACTGTTAATAGAAAATAGAACTGGAATAAAAGCCTACAGTAAAACGCCTTCTGGAGATTCTTCGCTCAGAGCTGGTAAAGACAAGAACTCATATTATCATTTGCCACTTTATCGCCTCGTTCATGGTTGGGATCAGCTGCATTTAAACTCAATGGGACATGTACTATCAAAGGTTTTATTCTGCTGTTTGATGCCACACAGCAAAATCCCCAGAGTTAAATCAACTCTGCTCAGAGTACATATTGTCCCGTTGATTTAACTCGGGGGATTTTGCTGTGCAGAGAAAAGGAGAGAAAGGAGAATTTTGTGCTGCTGGCGTACTCCCATTTGAGAGGAGTTCAAAGACAGGCCCATAGAGAGAGGGCATAGTTGCTGTAGTAGACACTGATTAATGTCATTATTAATGCTCTGGGGCTCCTCACATTCACACATTCTAACAGGAAGTGATGGAATCAGCCTTTATTGTGGCTGATATTTGGAGAGTATGCATTAGGGATGACCGGATCAATCTTTAGAAATATGATTCTTCTGAAAATGGTATTAAGAGGCCAGTAAGATACAATATTGATCATATGTTTTTTTTATATTATTATACTAAGAATTTATCACAATGATGATATAAGAAATAGTAAAATATATAAGCTATATAAGCTGTAAAAATATGAGCTTTTGTTTTTTATTATAATGCTATTCAAATAGTGAAATATACAGCATAAGCTGTGAAAAATATGAACTTAGTTAAAAGTTAGAACTTAGTTAAAAAAATAGTTGTGTAACATAGAAACTATCTGTCCTTCCACTCATCTGAACATGAATAAAAATGCTAAAAAGCGCAAGCAGTCAGACAGCGTTCAGCCACAGAGAGCATTGCTTGCCAGAGGTAATGACAGGAAAAAAAGAAGCGTCATTTGTTATTTTACTCAACAAAGCTAAATGTGACCTGTATTATAGTCTCATAGCTATAGCTTTAAAAAAAAAAAAAAAAAAAAAAAACTATATATGTTGCTAATAAATGGAAATTAGACCATCTGCTAATTTTCAGTTTAGGCCTATTTTGTGGCTATTTAATGTTTGTTGGCTATAAATATCTGTTTTACCCTCAGAAATAATAAAACTTTGATAGTAATTAGTATTGGGTTAATAAGTTAACCCTAGCTCTAAGGGATATCGCTCCAGCGCTAGTATGCATTTATAATTCCCCTGTCTTTCTAGATTATACTGACTGACCTTACAACCATGCAAGATAGACTTTTGTTGTTGTTGTCTACATATATTAGTCCTCTTGAGCATGAAGATGTCAGACAGACCGTCCTCCGTCTGCTAGAGATGTGTTGATCCCTAGACATCACATCTCGCTGCACATTCTCGATATGAGCTAACTAAATCCAGCTATCCGAAGAGAATAAAAAAAAAGGATGTGATTCGGTCTTTGTCATCCATATTCAATCAAACATTCATTCAGAGCATTCAGCACATTTCAGACAGAATATATGCAGGCCTTTCCATTCACCGAACACACAGCTAATTACACACCCCCTAGCAAACCGAGTGCAGTCATCATCATTAACAGCCGCCAGTGTCAAGAATTCATCTCAGCCTGTCTGAGCGTTTTTTAAATCTGCAAAGCAGATGAGAAAGAAACTGAACAAAACACCAGAGTGAGCCATAGACTGAGTCTAGTCACACAGTTGCGAGCGCACACACACACACACACACACACACACACACACGTACACGTACGTAAACATGTAAAATCACTTTCTCTTCTTGGCAGAAGCTAATGTGTACTTGATTTGTGGCCTTTTGATGAGTACCTAATATGTAATACACAATACTATTCAGAAGTTTGTATTTGGTAGGATTTTTTATTTTTTTTGGTAATGTTTGTGAAAGAAGTCTTTCACCAAGGATGCCTTACCGAGTGAAAAATAAATATAGTAAAATGTGAAAAAATTGAAATACATTTATTTCATGCTAAGTACACTACAAATTAATTTACACAGGCCTATTTACATACTTAAAAAACCCTGCAATTGCACTTTTAGTATACTAAACGTGTCTGCTAAAATGGAACAACTAATTTGTACTTAATGCACTTTCATTGTGCAGAAGTAATGCTGAAGTCCAACTAAAGACATACTGAAGTATATTTTAGTATAAAGTGGAACTATTGCAAGTATACTTTAGGTACACTTTAAATATCTTGCATTTAAAGACAGATATTATTCAAAGATCATATAATCCTCGTCAGTAGTGATATTAAAACACATTTTAGGCTTAATATTAAGAAATGTGCATTATGCACAAGTGATACTCCAAATAAAGTTATGCTATCGGAATATCGATTGAGCGATATGTCAGTAAATATGTTAATAGATTTGAACTATACTTAGTATGAAACAAGTGTATTTTAAATATATTACTTTTTTAGTTTGTTTGATCAAAATCAAAAAACATGAATGTTGTGAAATATTATTTAATATATTTAAATGTAATTTATTTTTTTGATTTAAATAGGTTAAGGAAAAGCTGCATTTTCAGCATCATTACTCCGTCTTCACTTTCACATGAAATTCAGAAATCTTTCTAATATTTGGTGCTCAAGAAACATTTCTTCTTATTATCAATGTTAAAATAGTTTTGCTACTTGTTTGTGGAAACATCATACATTTTCAGGATGTTTTGATGAATAGCAGCATTTAGAACAGCATTTATCTGAAAGAAAAACATGTTATAATAATAATAATAAAAAAAAATTATAATGTGCCCTTGCTGAATAAAAGTATTAACACTTTTAAAACTTTTAAACAGTATGCATTTAGTAATTAGTTGAATATAGCTCAGCAAATGTATAAGATATCAGATATTTCATAGCTCTGTGTTCTGGTCAGTCCTCATGGTGCCAGAAATACCCTAATCGAGCCAGCGAGTCCTTGTATTAGTGAATCGTCTATATTAATTTTGTTCACCAGATGGACCCTTTCTTGGCTCCTGTATGTCTCTCTGTGTGTGTGTAAGTTGTTCAAACACACTCAAACACACTTCTCTCACTTAAGCATATCAAGTCTCCTGGAGACCCCCCTTCTGTATTTGTTCCAGTCATCCATTTTGACTGTGTGAAGCAGTCGGGTCTGCTCCTTCACGTGCAGAGGGGGCTGCGATAAGTGCTTGAGCACCTGCCCCTTTCTCCTTGATGCCCAAAGTGCCCTTTTGTCAAGGCAATTTTTTTTTTTTGTAATTAAACGCCAT